AAAAAAATTGTACACAATTCGCACCTTTTACGTGAAATTAAGGTCAAGGTTTAAAAACTCTACCAGAACACTTTAAAGATATGTAATAATAATAATAATAATAATAATAATAATAATAATAATAATAATAATAATAATAATAATAATAATAATAATAATAATAATAATAGATCAAATAACATTATCGTACAATGAACTATAATTATATTATTAATTTAAATAAAAACAAATAAGGAAAAACGCACATTTAATTAAAAACATGCATATTATTATCCATTGGCATGCACTTGTCTCTATGAATGTACTTTTAGCAATTATGACACGTAAGGTGTAAGAAAGATAAACAATGTTTTGTGTTTATCTATTTTTAGTGACCATACATACACACACACATACACGCTCACTTACCGTATTTACAAATTCTGCAATATTTGCCGATATTAAATAGTTGCCTTCACACCAATCAACGGGTGAACTGCCCGGTCGCAAATGCTCCCAGGCCATTGTGTATATATCAAGTTGGGAACCTATTGTTTTAGATTTCGTTTCTTAAGTTGAAGGAAATGAAAACTATTTAACACTTTACAACTTAATTGTGCAACACGGAGACGCGTTTTATGTTTAGATTGCAAAGAAATTTATAAAAAAAAAGAAATAACAAAACTATAGTTTGACAGCACTACACAATTAGAATAATTTAATTGCATAAATTTATTATTATTATTATTCTTTTGCTTCTTTTTTGTCTATCACTGTTTTATTTTATTTATTTTTATTTGCAATTAAATTTATTTAATTTTTGTGGTCGAGGTTATGTCTTTTCCGTTCCTTTTTTTGTTTGCTTCTAGTATTGAGTTGAATTTTACAAAAACCAATTTCTTTGTTGTTTTAGTTCTTTTTTTACTTATGTAATTTGCATTAAATGTTATAATTTAAGCAAATAATTGATATGGCTAATAATCACAATAAAATCGAATAGTTACACTCGATTAAAATATTCTTATTTATATAGTTCTAAAACACTTTAGCACAACTTAGGAATATTAATTTATTGTTTGCCACACTAAACAATTGCAATTGCCACCGTTTTGTAAGCAATTTTATATAGCAGACATCTGCTTTTATTGAAATTTTACGTTCGACTAAATTGTGTTTTTGTTTTTCTATAGTTTTTTTTTGTAGTGCATGCATGTGTTACTAAAATCGATTCATACACACAATTGTCATCGTTTTGTTTGAGAGTACGTAAAAATAAACATTAAAAAAATTGATAACAAAAAATGAGTAAATCAGAGCGTGAGAAATTTTGTCAACAGAGAGTATTAAAAAAATTCATTTAATACATTATGAATTAAAATGTAAATTTTTTATAAGTTTTTGAATTAGAATTTAATATTTTTTAGTTGTTTTTCAATACTTCCTTAGATTTTTGTAAATATTTTAGTTGTTTAAAGAATTTTTTAATAATTACATTTCAACAGGAAGTGTTTATGGAAACGGATATATGTATGTTTGTTTATTTACATTGCTCTCTTTCAGACAATGTCATATGTTTGACAATGTTGCCATATTCTACAAGATTTAAAGGCACAGTGTCATAAATAAATAAAATTAATAAACAATTTTAAAAAATTTAATATAAATTCTAGAAATTTATAGAAAATTTTCTTTTTATAGGAAATTTTTGATAAATTTTCTATTTTACAAAATTTTCGAGAAATTTTTTATAATAAATTTAATTTTATGTAAAATTTTAAATTTCTTTCATTAAAAATTTTCTTTTTTTTCTAAATTTATATAAAAATTTATAAAAATACAAAATTTATGCACAAATAGACTACACAAGCGGCTAGTAAAAACACCGATTCTTTCACGTTTTTGTGGACAAAGACACAAATGCCAATTTTTATTAAATATGGAAATTTTTTAAAAAGTTTGTTATTAATGAATATAAACCATACAAACGGTTTGACAAAATTTCAATATGTTTGTGTAAAAATCAAAATTTTTAAATTTTGTACAAACACAAGACACACTCATCCTTTAATCTAAAAATTTTGTGTAATAATATAAAAGTTATCGCTGCTTTTAATAAAGAATTATCTATAACGGAAAATGTTAACAATTTTCTCAAAACTTAAAAAAATGCAATCAAGGTTTTATTGTAATCCCTGTTTACAATAAATCTGACGCTTCTTCTATATAAATAAAATCTGGTAACCTTAAAAACGCGTTTACTGTTCACAAATCTGCGTCGAATCGACATGTCATAAAGCCGACGCCGAGTCAGTTTAAGACGACTTGAATGGATTTTAAAGCAAAGCCCGATATCGGGATTTACTTTATCTAGTCACGTTATTTATTCATAATTCTTAAAATAATTGGACATTTAAAAACACCGGTGAAAACTTATCATCGGGCTTTAAGTGCTTTTTAAGCCGCCGTCAAAAATTTTAGTGACTGCCGCCAACGCCGTTTATATTTGTCGGCTCAGGTGTTTGATGCATTCTACTTTTTTCTTCAACAGTTTGCAAATAGTAATTTATATTTTAAGACAAATTTATAAAAATTAATAACTATAAGACACTCAAAAAATGTCCTCAGCAATCTATTTAGAAAATTACCTAGATGGTAAGTATAAAAAGAAAGCTAATTTACACTTCTTTACACCTTTCCATCATCCATTTACACAAAATGCATATACTCACCAACAACAACAATAATTTTCTCACTTTCCCACAAAACAAATAAAATGAAAACACTCCATGTCCACACACATCATATACACCACATCCAACAAATAAAAAAAATTATTAATGAAATCAACAAAACAAATATACAACGTTCTACTACTAAAGTCTTATCCAATATAGGATTAGAGTCCTTACCCACTGAGTTAGAAAGGAATTTTAAACTTATGCGCAAATTGGACGACAGAGCACAAACTGCCATGAAAAGTATTGATAGTCATGCCAAGGAGTTTATGCGTAAATTAGCCGACAATAGTGTTACCATGACCGATGAGGAGAGACGAGAGCGTTTGACCGATATACAACAATTGTTTGGCAAAGCAAAGGAATACAGTGATGATAAGGTACAATTAGCCATACAGACTTATGAGCTGGTGGACAAACAAATCAGACGTTTAGATAATGATCTGGCACGTTTTGAGGGTGAAATACAGGAGAAGGCATCTTCGACCAGAGGTAAATCAGAGGAAGCACAAGTTAAAAGTAAGTAAATTGATTTTTTAGATTGTTTTTGATTGTTGGTCATTATTTTTGTGTATATTTTGTGTTTTGACAGAGGGACGTAAGAAAACGAAGGATTCTGGCAAGGCTACGGGTAAAAAGAAACGTAATACTTCCTCAGATGATGAGGCCAACAATAGTGCTGTTGCAGCGGCGGCCGCTTCTGGCGGTCAAGGTGGTAAAAAGAAAAAGCAGAAGGTAAATCTAGAAAAAGAAACTCGCAAGGGGGGTCAAAAGGTAATCATCTCATTATATCATTTTACATACATTTTTTCTATATTTTTTATTAATTCAATTTGGTTGTTTTTTTAGTGGTTTGGTTTAGATTTTGTTTTCATGTTATTTTTTTATAATAAGTAGCTGTAGATTTTGCATATTATATAAGTATAAAATGGTAAAAGATTTGCAGGAGATATTGTTATAATTTGTGTTGCAATTCTCAACCGGTTTGCTGTTATTGCAGAAACTAAATCGTTTTGTAATTGAAATTTGTCTTTAGAAAGTCTTTTTTACAATTTTCATAAAACAAAACTAAAAAGAAAATGTAGTGGGAAAGGTAGACAGATGCCTTCCTTAACCGAAAAGCTTTAAAATTTAATTTTTTTCATTATTTTTAAAATAAACATATTTTGCCTGTTACATTTTTGCTTAATTTCATTTATGTATTTCTTCACTTCACTCATTACTTCATTAATATCATACTAATATTATTCTGGCATGTTTATGCATATCGTACTCTTGATTAACTATTTTATACAGTTTCATTTAATATTTCAACAATTTGTTTTATTTTTCTTTTATTTTCCCAAAGCAGAAAAATGTTGATTTAGACGATTCGGAAAAAGAATCATGTCTTACTTCTGCCACACATCCCAGCGATGTCTTAGATATGCCGGTCGATCCTAATGAACCTACTTACTGTTTATGTCATCAAGTTTCTTATGGTGAAATGATAGGATGTGATAATCCTGATGTAAGTTTTAACATCTATTTCAAAATTAGTTTTCTTAATTAAAAATTTCTATTACTTTTATTTAGTGTCCCATAGAATGGTTTCATTTTGCTTGTGTTGGCCTTACTACCAAACCCAAAGGCAAATGGTTTTGTCCAAAATGTACACAAGATCGAAAGAAGAAATAACTTGTATATGGTTATGTTTTATATTTATTTTATAGTTGAATATATATTTTTTATAGCATGTAAGTTTAATTTTAAATACTGTTTTTCTAAAAATATACTTTAGTTATATAGCAAGAAAAAGAAACGAGAATCGAGTTTTTATTTACATTAATATAAAGTTTTAGAACGAATCTCAATACTATCATATGAAAGCGTTTGAATTTGGAAGGCTTATTTAGAATATAGAAAATAGAAAATTCTAACTTTTTAATAAAACAAAAATTTTTCAGATTTCATTACATATTTTTTTATTTCTTCAAATTTTTATTTTGCTACATAATTCAAAATTGTGTATGTACTTAATTTGATTTTTCTTATATTCTCCATATATAGTACAATAGAATAGATAGAATGAGATCAAAAACAAACTTTATTTGTTCATGATTTTATTTGTTTTCAAATATATTTATTCATTTTTTTGGAATTTTAATAAAACTTAATTAAATTTTGTATACAATAGTTTAAAAAAATGCATTTGAAAAAAGAAATAAAACAAAATGCAGAAATATTGCACGAAATAATTAAAAGTATATAGAACTAGGAAAAATTTATCACTTTTTTAAAGAACTAAAGAAATAATTATTTTCATTATTGGGTTGTGGGGGGAGTCGTAGTAAACAATTTTTCAAACTATAAACAACATTTAGATATAATTTTTTAAATGGAGAACCAAGAAAAATGTTAACAATTAGTTTTAAAGAGATTTCTTTAAGTTTTTCTCTATTGCATATTTAAGAAAATTTAAAAAAAAAAAAAACGTTAAAACAATTTACGTTATTTTAGTCTTTGAGTAATTAGTTTAAGATTTATGTGATGTTTTTGATATTACGTTTGAGAATATATGGTGAAAATGAGGTTTGTAATAACTATTAACGAGTTTAGAGTTTTTGCCAAAAAGTAGAAAGTCTGTGAATGAAAAAGTATAGAACTTTTGCAAATGTACATTTTGGTTGCGAAAGTTTTATAGTGTATAATTTTCTTTAGAAAAATGCTGTCAATTGTGAAATCCGCATATTTAGTAAGGATTCTATATAAGAAATAGAAATGAAATTCCTTTAAAATATATGTATGTAGTATAAGTAATATTTCAATAATATACCCACATTTTTAACTATTACTTTCTAATTGTATATTTTCTATTTGGCTTTGGCATGTTTAACTTTTCTATTGTTTACACTTTTGCTTAATGACACATCTTCAAAACTGTTTTATTCCTCTAGTCCATTTACTTAACTCAAGAGCATTAGAAAGGCACCTAAAAGAAAAATGCAAATTTTAAAAATTTTATCATTTCAATGTTTTTTTTTATGAATTTACCTAATTTGATACAATTATTTATTGAAAGACTCTCTCCCTACAATAATATATAGCAACTTGTCAAAAACTCTCCCTCTCTCTCTCTATTTATACAATCCTTTCCTTATTCGCCTTTTTTTAGATTCTCATCAGATCTTGGACGCCAGAATCTTTGCAACCAACTGTCTCGGGATTTGTTAGCTGCATATTCATTATTTAACATACTAAAACTACTGAAAACATCCTTCATGGCCAAGGCCTTTTTATACGAATAATTCTTAGTGGCAAAGTACATTTTCTGTAAAATATCCGGCATTTGTTTTTGAGCTACCCACGATTTAATGCTTTGTGGTATGGGCAAACCGGGATCATCGTAATATGTTAATATATAATGAACACCTGGCTCTTGGAAATTACGATAAGGTTTTATAACCATAAAACTCCAATAGTCTGTAACACGTACTTTGCCACTAACGTGGGGATATTTAGGATGTTGTGTTCCTCGATTGGCTACCATCATTACTTTGCGTTTGTCATCACATATAAAACGCCGGCAATAGACATAATCTCGATTATTGAAAAACTTGGGCCACTGCATTTCCCAATAGATTAGATGGGAATTGGTGCCGGGTATAGGATCCTCCTCAATTAAGTGCAAAGCTACCGCTGTGTCATCCCACTGCTTGCGATAATCCAAATCGACTTGTACGTGCAACAAATCAGCTGCTGATATATCATTAAAGCTAGCATATACCTTATAGGAATACATGGCGGTACGTTCTTCTCTACGCCATATGTGAAAATGATCTTTACTAAAGTAGGGCTCCCAGTTGCGTTCGCTTTCGCTATCTATCATTGCACTACCCTTACCAGCTGCGCCATCCACACCATTACGCTCCATATACAAGTGTGTCGTACCATTAAGCGTTTTTTTACCATTATGTTTCTGGTTGCCCTCTTTATTGCCCACCAAACAATAGCAATATTTCATATTGTACTCTTTACAACGTTCGCACAATTTATTGCGATGTATGGTGTTAATAAACTCCACATCACGATGGCAGGTATCAAAATTTGCTAAACTCAAACGTTCCGTATTCCAATCGAACCCCGAGCCGCTGCCATTACCCGTCAGACAGCCCACCACACCCACGGCACTTAAAACCAAATTTGTTCCTTTAAATTGTGGCAGTTGTCGGTGATAGGATCTTATCAGCAGCTTTAAGCCATGTGATCCATAAACTCGATGATAAAATGTAAATAGTTGTTGTAAACGTCTCGACCGTTGGGCCAATATGGATTCGCACTGATAGCACCAGGCTTTTAAAGTGGCATTCGAGGAGTGTTTTATATTCGAAAGCATACGATTAAATACCATTTTCGATTTTCTTTTCTTCACTGTGTTTTATTAAAAGTTTGTTTTAAAATGTTTAATACATTTTTACAAATTTTTAGTTTTTGTTATTTTTATATTCGCTTGCATAACATTACACGTCTTAACACTTGTTAAGTTTGTTCCGGCTTAATAAATTTTTAATATTTAATTATTGTTTAATTAATAAGTTTTGGTTTTAAACTAATTGTTCTTTATAATTTTTCTTTTTGTTATGATTTAATAAATTTACTATGGAAAATTTTAAAAAATTAGCAACAAGAAGTTTTTATGACCCCAGAAAAATGTGCCAGTTCCAGTCTTGCCAGATTTGTCGATTTATCGATATTCTGCCGAATTTTATCCTAAAATAGTAAAGAGCATATTTGCCTTTTTTTACACAATCTGAGAATATTGTAACTTCATTTATTTATCTTGAATGGGTTTCCAGAAGTCTGGTTTGAGGGTATTAAAATTTCTGAATTTTTAAGAAATCGTGTTGTTTTTTTAATTGTCAATTTATTGCCGATAAATGCCGATTTTTTGGAAAAAATTTTTGAATTTTCTTTTAATTTATCTGGCAGCTTCGGCAAGTACATGTGCCCTGCAGTTGTCAAAAATTAAAAATGTTTACCTTTTTTTAATTTTTGACAAAACAAAAAAAAATTCCATCAAGAGTTGCCACTTTATAATAAGGGTTTATACATTACCGTTATCAAATTATACATATATAACAGAAAATTATTTATATATATTTATATGTTATTAAACTTATATATATATATATAACAAAAAATTATTTAACATTATAGCAAATCATATAATATTAGCTCTGTTAATATTCTCATATATAAAAATAAAGTCAAAATAAGTTTTTATTAACGAATTAAAATTGTTTACATATCTTCCCAATCTGGCATTATTAACTTTACTACACTGAAAGAAAAAAGCAATCTTAAAACAAAAATTTTGCGTTTTTGTTTTAAAAATGCAGCATTTTTCGAGAAATTTTTTAAAAACAAAAATGTTTTTAGTAATATTAAGATATTACGTTGTTGTTTTTATAAAAAGGCAATAAAAACATTTTTAAATCAAAAATGCACTTTTTTGATTTGAAAATTATATTTTTCCAGCTAAACGTTTTAAAAATGAAATTGATTTCTTCTTACATTATAATTTATAATTTTTATTATTACAATAAAGTAAAAATGAGACGTATTTGAATTAAAAATTTTCATTTTTATTTTATAGATAAAAATTATTTTTCAAAACAAGTTAAAATTAAAATTGTTTTCTTATTAAATTAAAATTAAATATTTTTATTTTCAATATTTGACCACACCCTTTTTCGAAAGTTTAAATTAAAAGTAAAACGTTTTTAAAATAAGTTTGTTTTTTTTACAAATTATAATTTAACGCCATATTCTTTTTAAGCGTCATTTACAAATTGCAATAGCAGCATACGGAGTGATTTTCTAAAAAGTTTCAAAGTTTTTGTTAAAGTTAATGTGTTTTTAAAGTGAAATTAAAATAAAATTTGTATAAAACAAAAAATAATATCAAAGAATGTTGTAAATATAAAAAACATAACATAAATAGATAAATAAGAGCATAAAAAACCCTAAGTGATTAAAATGGAAAAATGTGCTGAGATTTGTCAGGAACAAAATGATATCGGGAATTTGGTGGACGACGAAAGCGATTTATTAATGGATTTATTAAAAAAATTTGATTTGCTCATCGTAATGAAATTTTTTAAAGGTAAGTTGTAACCTTATGCATGTTTAACATGTAAATTGAGGTTATGTTCTTAGCAGAAGAATTTACATATTTTTAATTCCACTTTAGAAGCGCATATTACATACAGATCTCTTCAATATATAAAAAATGAAGACTTAAAGGAAATTATTCCCCTGGTGGGCCTTCGTTTGGAATTTCGTGAAAAGTTATTTACATGGAGAAAGAAAGAGATATTATAAATCATTTTTTTTATAGACTCAGCTTTATTTAATAACAATTTGCAGTTTGGAATTGATGATGAGACCTTGTCAGTACCTTCAAAAGTACAGGATTGGTTGTATGACTCGCAACAGTAACAGGATTAAGTAATAACATATAAAAGGGAACTTTTTGGTACTTTTTCGTTCTTCAAAAGGTATTTTTTGAATTTTCTATAATATTGAACATGGAGTAAGTGAGAACATATAAAACGGGACTTTTTGGTACTTTTTCGTTCTTCAACTTGTACTATTTGGATTTTCTTTTATAATGAACCTAAAAACATAAAACTAAGCAATCAGGGACTTGAGTGAATGAAAATTTAAACTGGAGTATTTCTGGTAATTTTTCGTTCTTTAACTGGTACTTTTTGAATTTTCTAAAATATTGAATATATAAACATAAAATTAAACACGCAGTATCCTAATTGAACGAAAATTTATCTCGCTTATGTCCATTTTGCAAAAAGGGCTCGATATCAATCGAAATCTCTATAGGCCATAGTTGAACCTGCCCCCTTCAATAATTAATTTTAACGTTTTCTACGTACTTAATAATACCATAATAAAACAATTTTTGTTGGAACGAAAATATGTAATGAAATCTTCTTCAGAAAATGACTTAAACGCACATAAATGGCTTTCAAATGTCGATGTCGACGAAATAAACATTTTTGGGAACCGAAACCCACATTTATGAAAAATAAAATTATGAGGATCGGTCCGCCAATATAACCCTCTTACAGAAAATCAGTTTATAGCTAATACATCATTCCAAAAGTTATCATTATGATAGAATTATGGTAGAATTAAAAAAAATACTTTAAATTATATATATTATTGATCCAATTCCATATTTAAGTCCCTAATCCGAAAATCACGGTGACGTTCTTATTAATCTAATGATCGGACCACTTCCGAAATTTGCTTTTTTACGACATAACTCTTACTTCTTACTTATTTTAATCATAAAATACCACTAAAATAGGAATAGTCTTCCTTTAGAGTTGCGAGTTTTCATACATTCTAATAATGTTTTCAAAGTGAAACTTTTGGAATATTTTTCAATCTCTTTGTGATCCTTTTAAATGATGTTGTTCTGGAAGAACTTTAACATCCATGTAAACATTTTGGGTAATAAACTGGGGGACTACCAATGAGGGGAGCGGAACCTTCCATATGAATTAAATACAAAAATTCGTTTATCTGGGAAACTAATATAACTAAATTCTTCAAATTTTGCACGAACAACTTTAATATTCATCTGAACATTTTGGAGAAAAAAAGGGGGGACTTTCATCTGGGGGGCTTGGAGCTCCCATATGAATTAAATAGAAAAATTCGTATATCTGAGAAACTATTAGAGCTAGAATCTTCAAGTTTTACTGAAGAACATTTAGAGAATAACGGGCGGACTTTCAATGGGGGGCTTGGCACTTCCCATATGATTAAATACAAAATTTTGTATATCTGGAAACTATTAGATTATTCAAATTTTTCATAGATTAAATTAAAATCTTAATTAACGTTCGGAATAATTGGCGAAATTGCAATAATTTGCGTGGAATCTCCCATATGTAACAAATTGTATATCTGGAAAACCATTGTAGTTAGAATCATCAAAATTGTTAAGTAGGTTTCTTATTTATATTGCTTTTAGGGTAGCACAGCACACTGGGTATAGCTAGTAAATAAACAAATAAAATATGTATCTTTGTTTTTACGTTATTGATCATTTTCTTAATGCAAAATTTTTTAGAAACTGATTTTCTGCAAGATGTTTTATATGGAAGATAGGGTTAAATATCGGCAGATCCTAGTAAAACTTGGAGAAAGGATTTGTTTTTAATTTTTAAGAATTTTTTATTCATCCCTGCATAATTTCTCATGCAACTTTTGAGTTTGCTCTGTTTTGTTGTTATAAACAATATATTTGCTTCCAAAATCCTACTTTTTGATCTCTCGGATTCCGTTTTTATTTAAAATCGTTGAAAAATTAAAAACTAAACGTAGTTGAAAACTTAGCCGGCTTACAGTGGCCACCGCCGCCGACATATTTAGTGTCAGTCGCCGCCGCCGTTAATATTTGTCGACAGAATGTCTCGTGGTTGTCTGTCTTGTTTTTATTTTGGTTAATATATCTGTTCGAATTGCGTGAACGTTGTTTAAATTATAAAATAATTAATGAAATTGATGGATAATTGAGAAATAAATACTTTAAAAATGGCTATGAGACGACCACGTATAAAGCCAGTGGCTAATATACTATTAAATTCCAAGCGTAAAGCAAAACCAGCAAATGATGTAAAAACTGTTAAAACTGGTGAAAGTGATGTAAACGGTGGACAGGAAGTTGTAAAACAAGTAAATGTTCCAACAGTTGAAGAAAGTGCAAAGGAACAGACCATAGAAGTAGCCAACAATATTGAGAAACCATTAGAGGTTAGGGTGGACACGACAGCAAATGAAAATAACCTAAACAAAGATACAGAACAAAATCAAACAAATGATAAGGAACCACAGAATACGGAGCAGCTGGTTAATGGTAAGGATAATAACAACGAAAACGTTAATACAACAAAAGATCAAGAAGTTGTTGCAAACAACAGTGAGCCAAAAGAGCATTTAAATAAAACCCACGAAGAAGCGCCTGAGGCATTAAATGATTCCGAAGCTTTTAAGTGTCCACCAAAAGTGGGTCTTCAACGAGCTATAAGTCATACTTCCAACAGTGGAGTAGATGATGTTTTCTATTCAGATATAGAAGAAAATGCTTTACAAATGGATTTAGAAAAATCACCATCATCGAATGGGTGCCCAATGTCTCCTTCAAAAAATTTGACCAGACAACGAATACGACCCACACCACATTTTGGCCAAAGGCGTAATAGTTTTGTAGGTTCCTCACCCTCACCTCATAACTCGGGAAATGAAGACAATCACCTTGGTGGAGGCAATGTTAACAATGATTTTGTACAACCTTCTCCAACAAGGCGAGAAAGACATTACTCAGCCTCTTTAACAGGCAGTAGCCACTCATCACATCCACACTATCATCATACACCACATAAATATTTACCCGCGGGAATAACAAACAGTAGCATGGGACGCATACGTACAGAATCTGGCTGCTCGGTATTTTCGGACACCAACACTTCCTCGCACAAGTCTCGTAAAACAGAGGATAATAAACAGCATTCTCGTAAAGATTTTGAGGCTCGCTTTCATAATGGTGTACCTGAAAAGTCTGCCATAAAAATGTCCGATTTGATTTATTACAATCCAGCCACTAATCCCATGGAACAAAAACCTAATCCCAGTGTAAAACTAGAACAATCCGAAACT